GCTGGGTTGAAGAATGAAGGGCTACAATTTTTTTTCAAATAAATGACCTTTACCTATATTCAAGTCACAGGGGTGAAATAGGTTGAAAACTTTAAACGTCTTCTTCTGAATAACCCAATGGCTTAGGATGATGACATGTGGCCAGTTACATGCTCAGATAAAACGCTATGAAGTTTGTCCTAATGAATGACCTTTGAACCCTTGATTGAAGGTCACATGGGTCAAATGTGTTGGAAACTTTTTAAAAAAGTTCTTCCTTATAATCAAAATGCAGAAGGCAAGGATACTTGGCCAGCAGCATGTTCAGACAACAGTTATCAAGTTGATTCATTAGAACAACCTTGATGCACTTTCACGGTCACATATGATCGAATGGTTATAAACCTTTAAATGACCTCATCTCAATAAGCAAAAGGTCTAGGGTGGTGATAATTGGCAAGATGCTTGCTTAGATGAAGGGCAATCAAGTTTGTTCAACTTCATCACCTTGTTAGACTTTCAAGATCACAGGGGTCACCTGTGTTGAAATCTTCTAACAGGTTCTTTTGAATTACTGCTGTTTTGTTGTAGCTCTATTTTAGTCCATATTAAAGGTCTCAAGTTACAAGATAAATACCAGGTGAGCATTGCATACCAATTGGGCCTCTTGTTTTTTAATGTTTTGTTCTAATTTACATAATATATTGTGCAGCTGAACTTTGTAAAAACATTATCAAGAAAATCAATTCCTGGAAAAAAATATTACAACATGTAGTAGCCTGAAATGTCTATGGAGTGAAGACCCGAGGGTATTTTGGCTACAACCAACAATGATAAATGTGTGCCCAGTAGAATTGTAAAATGAATTTGAAAGTAGGATTATTTAGAACTAATTGTTACAAGAAAACCAAAACAGCAAGGTTTTTTGTTTGTATTGATATTGATATTGATTTAATGGTTTATCCTGCAAACGATTTGACTTCATGCCATATGTTATTGTTTATTATTAAGTTATTACTGTGAATGTTTATGTCAATTGTAATCAGTCCATTTTTCATTTAAATCTGATTCTTGGTGCAAATTATTGTCTTTCATTACTATTATTGATATGTATTCTATGTCATTACCATTCCTAATCTCCACAGACTTAGCTGCCATTTTTTTAGTCATGAGGGACTCCTTTGTCCCCGAGCTACACATACTTGTGGGATCACTTTAAAACATGTGTATGCCATGTTTTAGAAGCCTGGTTGATATGGAAAGCAGTCTTTTTTTTACTGTAACATTCTTTCAAAGAGAAGGACAAAATAACAAAGGTTTTTTATTATTATCAAAACTATTGAAACCAATTGGTTGTGATATGACTGGTACTGTTGGCTGGTTTTAGTTTTTAGGATGGTAATGATGTTGAATAAAGTATCAGTGAAGCTGAGCATTGCCATACGAATTGTGATATATATCAGGACCATGATGGTCACAGCAGGGAGTAAGCTGAACAGGCCTTCACTCCTATATTCAATATGGAGTATTTTCATAATTATTATTGAAATAAATAATACATTCTACACTTTTTCCTCATCGGTAGATATCTTCATGACTTTTGAAATTCATGATGAAATTGTAGATATTTTCATTATTGTATATGTCCATTTTAATAATTAATTAATGATCATCAGAACAATAACAAACAGATACTTGAACATGATCATCAGAACATTAACAAACAGATACTTGAACATGATCATCAGAACAATAACATACAGATACTTGAACATGATCATCAGAACAATAACAAAAAGATACTTGAACATGATCATCATAACAATAACAAACAGATACTTGAACATGATCATAAGAACAATAACAAACATATACTTGAACATGATCATAAGAACAATAACAAACATATACTTGAACATGATCGTCAGAACAATAACAAACATATACTTGAACATGATCGTCAGAACAATAACAAACATATACTTGAACATGATCATAAGAACAATAACAAACATATACTTGAACATGATCGTCAGAACAATAACAAACATATACTTGAACATGACCATCAGAACAATAACAAACATATACTTGAACATGATCGTCAGAACAATAACAAACATATACTTGAACATGACCATCAGAACAATAACAAACATATACTTGAACATGATCATCGGAACAATAACAAACATATACTTGAACATGATCATTAGAACAATAACAAACATATACTTGAACATGATCGTCAGAACAATAACAAACATATACTTGAACATGATCGTCAGAACAATAACAAACATATACTTGAACATGACCATCAGAACAATAACAAACATATACTTGAACATGACCATCAGAACAATAACAAACATATACTTGAACATGATCGTCAGAACAATAACAAACATATACTTGAACATGACCATCAGAACAATAACAAACATATACTTGAACATGATCATCAGAACCATAACAAACATATACTTGAACATGATCATCAGAACAGTAACAAACATATACTTGAACATGATCATCAGAACAACAACAAACATATACTTGAACATGATCATCAGAACCATAACAAACATATACTTGAACATGATCATCAGAACAAAACATACACTTGAACATGATCATAAGAACAATAACAAACATATACTTGAACATGATCGTCAGAACAATAACAAACATATACTTGAACATGATCATCGGAACAATAACAAACATATACTTGAACATGATCATTAGAACAATAACAAACATATACTTGAACATGATCGTCAGAACAATAACAAACATATACTTGAACATGACCATCAGAACAATAACAAACATATACTTGAACATGATCGTCAGAACAATAACAAACATATACTTGAACATGATCATCAGAACAATAACAAACAGATACTTGAACATGATCATCAGAACAATAACAAACATACACTTGAACATGATAATCAGAACAATAACAAACAGATACTTGAACATGATCATCAGAACAAAACATACACTTGAACATGATAATCAGAACAATAACAAACAGATACTTGATCATGATCATCATAACAATAACAAACAGATACTTGATCATGATCATCATAACAATAACAACCATATACTTGAACCTGATCATCAGAACAATAACAAGCATGTACTTGAACATGATAACAAACAGATACTTGAACGTGATCATCATAACAATAACAAACATATACTTGAACATGATCATCAGAACAATAACAAGCATGTACTTGAACATGATCATCAGAACAAAACATACACTTGAACATGACCATTAAGTAGTATAATAACACATTTTGAAAGTTTGAGTTTATGGCTCAGTCAGTGTAACTCTGTACAGGCTTGTCTAGTTTTGCTTTCTTGTGTGGTTACCGTTATCTAGATCGAGTTTATACACTTACAAGATTTACTATGTAAATTAAACAGTTTTCCATGGACTTTTTAACAGGAAAACATGTTAACCTTGATCACGCTTGCTGAGAGTTATGTCCCCTGTCAAGGATTTGTTTCAAGAACATCAAAATCAAAAACATTATCTCTTATATCAAAGTAATTTTGTGGTTAGTACTATATATGTAGATTATTTATTTCAGTAAGAAATTATACTTAAAAAATAAAATTTCTGAAGAAATCATTTTCAGAAATGTTCTTCTGCACTTTAGTTAGATATTTGCTTTGGGTCAAGAGTGTGGAGCAAAAAAATGAAACTTTCTGAAATTGTTTTTAAGAAATTTCATGTTTAAATGAAAACAGGATAATGTTACCGAGAGCAGAGATTGTCACAACTATGACCAATAGTTGACTTCAGCTGTGAAGTTTGTTGATGAAATGCTCATGAATATTCATAAATGGTTCTGTTACAATGCTGACCATAAGTATTATCTGTTATTTAATTGACTTATTTGCTCATGAATATTTATTGTTAATTTACTTATTTGTTTTGTTATATTTTTTACTGTTATTTTATGTTCATTGATATTGTTAATTAGTTTTTGTGTGTTGAATAATTTCACAGAATGTAAAACTCAATCTTGAGGTTCAAACTGGTACATTCCTAAACATTGTTATTCCTAGAAAGAACATTTTAGAACATTATTTCATGAAAAAGTGCTCGGAATTGTTTAAAAGAAGAACAATACTGATCTGGTTAATTAGCACAAACCTGGTTAACTGGACAAAAATTGAATTTTAACGTGTCTGTTTTGACATTATAAAATCTTCAGTTGAAAGGTTTTACAATTATCAAAAATGAAAATCATGAAAATGCTTGAACATTCTTATCCCTACATGTTTAGATGATATTCATGCTAGACATTCCAAGCCAGTATGGATTTTGATCTTGATTTGACAAAGTATCTGGTTCTACAGTGATGCTGTAGAACTTTGGATAGAACTTCTGAGACTATGCTGTAGTTTCAGTTAAATGGAATTAAAAGTTTTCGTTAATCATCATGGAGTTTATATTATCAATGTTTCAAAGTGTCTGTGATAGGTTTTGTATGTTTGCTTCATTGTGGTGGATACAATATATATTGTTTTTCATTCTTTTTTCAATGTTTGTTATATTTCAAGGTACAGTATTCGCCGTAATTAGCTCTACACTCCATATAAGCACCCCTCTCCCTTTTTTCAGGAGGAAATATATATATATATATATATATATATTATAAAAAGAAAAATTCTTAACAACGAGTCTTTAGTACTCTCTATTAGGCCTCTCGTTGTCCTAAGAAATCCTCTGCAGTAACTAAGGCGAATACATTATTTGCCATATTTTAAGTATACAGAGAGTAACATTCAATAAAAAAGAAATGATTTCATAATGTTGACGACATCACAGAAACAGTTTAATAAAAAATCAATTGTTTCTAAAGTTTAGTAAATTACTAAATTTGAGTGTGGGGGGGGGGGGGGGGAAGATGATTAAGTTTCAGTTATTTCAATTGAAGAAATTGCCAGTTGTTGATTTTGTTGATTTTTTCTGTCTATTCCAGGATCAAATTTGTGCTGCACAAGATATTTTGGAAGAGAAAGGGATCTCGAGAGTAGCAGTGACCATATCTGCTCTAGTTGCCATAGCAACCAATCCGAGGTCCTCTAATGTCTGACAGTATCCGAGAATGTCCAGACAAACATCTAAAATACAACGTCACAAATACGGAAAGCTTATATTGATGTCTGATATCGGTGTCAATGTCTCTTTCCGCATTTGGAGAGGTGAGCTGACTACATGGGCTCAGGGCCAGATCAAGCCAATCTTAAATGGTCAAAACTTTCATACAATTACCATATTTCGTATGACCTGCCATATTTGGTAAAAACTACCACCTTCGTTAAAAAAAAGTAGGCTATTGTCCTAATTGATTTTGCCAGCATAATTGGTAGGACCAGACATAGGGCCATTTTTTGGTAGAATTACCAGAGCTTTAAGATTGCATGCACCACTACAACTGTCAGTTGTCGTCTGCTCTTCAGGAGAGCTGCAGAGGAACACGTTTGGTGCCTGGTTGCCTTCTGTTGGTAACTGCATGGTATTGTCTTATGTTGTCTTATACCAATATATATAAAAAGTAAGCTGCATTAGTTGTGTTGACTACACCGTACATCTTTGTAAGTTGTTGTCATGCACTGGCATCAGTGGCCACCATTAAGTCAGGTGGCATTGACAACTAAAGTGGAACAGTACCAATACTATCAGATGCAAGTTGCATTGGCAACTACTTTTCACTATTGGTCAAAACCAATAGTATGAACTGCCTTATATGGTCTCTATTGACATGTCCGATCTAGTCAAGGGCAGATAAGTCTTGCTAGCTATCATGCAGCTGTTCTGATGATGACAACGTGTCTCCTGTGACACTACAGGCTGATCAATGACCATACATACAATTTGTGATATTTTTTGTGACTTATTTAAGTCTTGGTAATTTTTTCTCTCTTGTCCTGCATTTTACAGGGCAAAGTTTCTTGTTCTTCGTTTAGCCATGAAATATATGTAACCTTGTGATCTATAAGTTGATAAAGTTTCTGCACCTAATGACCCTAACCTACTGGAGTTGCACTCCCAATTAAACCAGAGTGTTTAGTGTATGCTATGCCCTTTTTTTATCTTTGTTAAACATTTCTGCATGACTGTGCTCAGAAACGCCCGTAAATCATACACACATTTATGTAGTATACAGAGAATGTATTTATGCCTTCAGTAACTACAGATCAAGATTTTTTACTAGATACCTGTTATTAAACAAGAAGAAGGAAAAATATATAAAAAAAAAAAAGAAATATAACAATGTTTCAACTTCAGAAGAAAACAAAATTTAAGAAAGGAAATGGTGGATGTATTTCGAAGAGAAAAGACAATTTTTATAATATATATCTTGTTATAGTGGTTACATATATGTAGACTTAAGGGAATGTGTGAAGTACTAATCAAAGGAGATATTACATCTGTACATACTGTAATGGCTAGGTAATAGGGGGTAAGGAGGGTAAAATATAGGTCAGAACTGGTTACTATACAATTTAGAAAAAACAAGAAGATTACTTATCCACAATTATTTTTCTGTACTACAAAATTTGAGAAATAAAAATTGTCTTTTTCTGGTAAATTGAAAGATTGAATTAAAATGTGTGAGATTATTGCATTGTTAAATAATAATAAAAATACTAAGGATTTTCTTATAAAAGAATTTGGATATTATTTGTAAAAAAGATACAAATTCTTTTATGTCATCATGAATATGATTGAGATTGATGTGACCAACCTTTCCCACTCTTTTACACTAAAAGATAAAACAGTTATCAATGTAAAATATAACTTAGGTTTAATGGTATCATTTACACTAGATATTGTTGATCCTGTAAAAGAAGCAGGCCTCTTTGTTAAATACATACAGTTATATAAGATGTTCAGATATTTATGACAAATATTTTAATTTGACTGCAGGCAGTCAAAATAAGCTTCCATTGAAGACATGCTACATAAACTAGGTCAATCTTAAATATCCGTGTAGACATCATGCTACATAAACTAGGTCGACCTTAAATATCCGTGTAGACATCGTGCTACATAAACTAGGTCGACCTTAAATATCCTTGTAGACATCATGCTACATAAACTAAGTCAATCTTATATATCCGTGTAGACATCATGCTACATAAACTAGGTCAATCTCAAATATTCGTGTAGACATCATGCTACATAAACTAGGTGAATCTTAAATATCCGTGTAGCTGTCATGCTACATAAACTAGGTCAATCTTAAATATTCGTGTAGACATCATGCTACATAAACTAGGTCAATCTTAAATATCCGTGTAGCTGTCATGCTACATAAACTAGGTCAATCTTAAATATCCGTGTAGACGTCATGCTACATAAACTAGGTCAATCTTAAATATCCGTGTAGACGTCATGCTACATAAACTAGTTCAATCTTAAATATCCTTGTAGACATCATGCTACATAAACTACGTCAATCTTAAATATCCTTGTAGACATCATGCTACATAAACTAAGTCAATCTTAAATATCTGTGTAGACATCATGCTACATAAACTAGGTCAATCATCAATATCCGTGTAGACATCATGCTACATAAACAAGATTAAAAAATACATAAATGGTAAGTAAAGATTAAACACATGTAGAACTGGTTGGAATGATGGATGTTTCGGTAGTTATTTGACCATAGTAATACATTTACATTCAAGTATAATCAGTATCCTTTTGGAGGACATTTATCTGCTTATTCTGTATTAAAATGCAGGTCCAATTATAGATTCCCAACTATGTTATAGTTGTGCTCGGTGATAAGCCCACCCCTTACTTTTGACCTATTAATGCACAGACTCGCTCGGCTGATCACTGGTAAAATAGCCGTACTATAGATATATAATAGCTGTCTCCATGGTGATTTACAGACCTCCTACATAGTGCTAGCTTACAAGTCCCTGCCACTCTACCAAGGCTTCTGGTGATCTATTATCGGCCACATCGAAACCAATTGGAAAGCACTGCGTTCATTAATAATGTCTCAAAGGAATACTATATATAATTACATAGTATATGTGTACATGTATATACATCATATAAGTTAATTTTTTACTTTTGTTGAAAGACTTTGGCATAGCATTATTTTTTGTTGGAGCATATCAAAAACCACTTTCAAATACTTAAGTTTCTGTCTTTTGTAAACCATGTTCGTCTTGTGTGTACATTTTTAACTCCTTGTGGTAAAGTTTCGTGTAGAGGAGTTATAATGATGGAGATGGAAACATTTTATCAAAAGAGTTATTATCACATGAGGAATTTGAACAAGGATTCAGACATGGTACTGGAAGTGAAGAGATATTCTGTTTTCCACACTGTTGTCCGAATGCCTTCAGAGCCCTGACTGGCAGGAACTTTATGCCAAATTCGAAACATTGAAGGAATTGAGAGGATTGAGAATGGTTTGGTTGTTATGGCAACATGTTCCACAGAAAATGCTGAATCTGTCAGTATTTTCGCGCCTAATATGTATGTTCCCGTTAGGCAAGCAAGGTACAACATATAATTTTGAAAGAAGATTCAGGAACACATTTTTTTTAAAATTGATTTCCAAATAATATTTGTGTTTCAAAGATAACTGGAGGGGGGATAATGTGGAAGTGAATGTTTCACTAAATTGAATTAGGATTATAAGAAAGATATTAATCTTGGCTGATTATTTCACCACATTGTGCAGTATCTAATGGATCATGTTTGTATTCATGATTCATGATGTGCTTTTAAGTTTTTGGGTCTTTTGAACAAGATGAAAAACATTAACAATGTAGTATATAGGTTAAATCAAAGCTCGTTTGAACATTGAGGAAAATGTGATGATCTGTATTGTTTTCCCAATCCCCTACCAGATATTATGGCGTATCGTCTGTCTCCAGTGACTGCGTGTCTTCAGAGGCTAGAATGTGATGCTGGAGAAATGTCTGGTTCCCAGGACGTAAACAAGTCAATAATTGTTCCTGAAGTAGAAGGTCCAACGACTTTGTTGAAGTTGTTGTGGCCTTGACAAGCTTTGAGATAAATGTTGTGTCGGACATTGTGATCCACTGGAATAGGTCCAGGTATATTCTATCAAAGTTAATAGTCACAGCTCCAACGCAAATCTATATGCTCAGTGTGTTTAATAAAAAAAAAAGGGTTTGCTTAATTTTCGATCGTTACATCAAATTTTGTATTGTTTTCCTGGTAAAATAGGTATCTTGATATAATCAGTGTAGAACTGAAGTAAAGTAGGATTAAGACATGGTAGTTGTGGAAACACTGGGTTAAACTCTTTAGATTCTCCTGGAATGGTGTGCTGTCACCAGGAGGCAATGTCCCTAGATTCTCCTGGAATGGTGTGCTGTGACCAGGAGGCAATGTCAAATGCATACACATTCTTTCTGGAATATTTGCATTTGTTTTAGCAATGTGGAATAAAAGATTCCGCAGAAAACAGTTATTGAAGTCATTCCCATTTTTTATAGATTTTACGTAGTGTGGTTGTCTAGCTATGAATCGGGAATTACAGACTCCTTTTCCGGCCTTCAGCTTCAGTTTTTGAAACTGCAGACAACAGCTGGAATATGCAAATATGTGTTGGGTCGTTGTCAATGTGTTCTATAGACCTTGTATGTGATGAAAGCCTCAATATTTGTGATATTGTTTTAAATGTCTTCTCCTGCAATGTTCATCGGCCTGTTTGGCATTACTTATTATTATTTATACCGGTTTTAATTTACAGATGTGTAATAATAGAAAAAAAGTGTATATTTTGTGTTCTATCCATGATTTCTGTTCATTCAGCATGCTTTATCTTGGAATACATTTTCATTATCATGATTGACTGTATTACAAACAATGCTTTTTATAGGAAATGTACCTTCAAAAACTAAACCAAATAAAAAACTGACGAAAAGTGAAGAACTCTTGAAATGTCTTTGAAATTGTTTTATCAGTTAATGACACATTATGTATATATAATTACTTTACCAAGTGTTTATAAAACATGCATGTTATTTACCAACATAGCACTGGAGTGATATTGTGTAATACAAGCACCCTCACATTGTCTAAACATTACCGGTCACATGTCAGCGTAGAACCAACATAGCACTGGATTGATATTGTGTAATACAAGCACCCTCACGTTGTATATACATTACCGCCACATGTCAGCGTGGAACCAGCATAGCACTAGAGTGATATTGTGTAATAATAGCATCCTCACATTATCTATACCGGTCACATGCCAGCGTGGAACCAACATAGCACTCGAGTGATATTGTGTAATACAAGCACCCTCACGTTGTATATACATTACCGCCACATGTCAGCGTGGAACCAGCATAGCACTAGAGTGATATTGTGTAATAATAGCATCCTCACATTATCTATACCGGTCACATGCCAGCGTGGAACCAACATAGCACTGGGGTGATATTGTGTAATACAAGCACCCCATCATTGTCTATACATTACCGGTCACAGGTCAGCGTGGAACCAACATAGCACTGGCGTGATATTGTGTAATACACGCACCCCCACATTGTCTATACATTACCGATCACATGTCGGCATGGAACCAACATAGCACTGGAGTGATATTGAGTAATACCAGCACCCTCACATTGTCTATACAGTTCCGGTCACATGTCAGCGTGGAACCAACATAGCACTGGAGAGATATTGTGAATTACAAGCACCCTCACATTGTCTATACATTACCTGTCACATGTCAGCGTGGAACCAACATAGCACTGGCGTGATATTGTGTAATACACGCACCCCCACATTGTCTATACATTACCGATCACATGTCGGCATGGAACCAACATAGCACTGGAGTGAATATATAATTACTTTACCAAGTGTTTATAAAATATGCATGTTATTTACCAACATAGCACTGGAGTGATATTGTGTAATACAAGAACCCTCACATTGTCTATACATTACCGCTCACATGTCAGCGTGGAACCAACATAGCACTGGCGTGATATTGTGTAATACACGCACCCCCACATTGTCTATACATTACCGATCACATGTCGGCATGGAACCAACATAGCACTGGAGTGAATATATAATTACTTTACCAAGTGTTTATAAAACATGCATGTTATTTACCAACATAGCACTGGAGTGATATCGTGTAATACAAGCACCCTCACATTGTCTAAACATTACCGGTCACATGTCAGCGTAGAACCAACATAGCACTGGAGTGATATTGAGTAATACCAGCACCCTCACATTGTCTATACATTACCGGTAACATGTCAGCGTAGAACCAACATAGCACTGGATTGATATTGTGTAATACAAGCACCCTCACATTGTCTAAACATTACCGGTCACATGTCAGCGTAGAACCAACATAGCACTGGAGTGATATTGTGTAATACAAGCACCCCCACATTGTCTATACATTACCGGTCACATGTCGGCATGGAACCAACATAGCACTGGAGTGATATTGTGTAATACAAGCACCACCACATTGTCTATACATTACCGGTCACATGGCGGCATGGAACCAACATAGCACTGGAGTGATATTGAGTAATACAAGCACCCTCACATTGTCTATATGCCTGAGGTATGTACACTAAAACCAGATTTTGAGGATCGTTTAATGATATCTGGGCCTGAGGTATGTAGGCTAAACATACCAGCACCCTCACATTGTCTATACATTACCGATCGCATGGCAGCGTGGAACCAACATAGCCCTGGAGTGATATTGTGAATTACAAGCACCCTCACATTGTCTATACATTTCCGTCACATGTCAGCGTGGAACCAACATAGCACTGGCGTGATATTGTGTAATACAAGCACCCCCACATCGTCTATACATTCCCGGTCACATGTCGGCATGGAACCAACATAGCACTGGAGTGATATTGTGTAATACAAGAACCCTCACATTGTCTATATGCCTGAGGTATGTAGACTAAAACCAGATATTGTGTAATACCAGCACCCTCACATTGTCTATACATTTCCGTCACATGTCAGCGTGGAACCAACATAGCACTGGAGGGATATTGTGAATTACAAGCACCCTCACATTGTCTATATGCCTGAGGTATGTACACTAAAACCAGATTTTGAGGATCGTTTAATGATCTCTGGGCCTGGGGTATGTAGGCTAAAATTACCGGTCACATGTCAGCGTGGAACCAGCATAGCACTGGAGTGATATTGTGTAATCCCAGCACCCTCACATTGTCTATACATTACCGATCGCATGGCAGCGTGGAACCAACATAGCACTGGCGTGATATTGTGTAATACAAGCACCCTCTCATTGTCTATATGCCTGAGGTATGTAGACTAAAACCAGATTTTGAGGATCGTTTAATGATCTCTGGGCCTGGGGTATGTAGGCTAAACCAGATTGTAAGGATCGTTTAATGATCTCTGGCCCTGAATTATGTAGGATTAACCAGATTGTGAGGATCGTTTAATGATCTCTGGCCCTGAATTATGTAGGATTAACCAGATTGTGAGGATCGTTTAATGATCTCTGGCCCTGAGTGATATTGTGTAATACAAGCACCCTCCCGTTGTCTATACATTACCGTCACATGTCAGCGTGGAACCAACATAGCACTGGAGTGATATTGAGTAATACAAGCACCCTCACATTGTCTATACCGGTCACATGCAAGCGTGGAACCAACATAGCACTCGCGGGATATTGTGTAATACAAGCACCCTCACGTTGTATATACATTACCGCCACATGTCAGCGTGGAACCAGCATAGCACTAGAGTGATATTGTGTAATAATAGCATCCTCACATTATCTATCCCGGTCACATGCCAGCGTGGAACCAACATAGCACTCGTGTGATATTGTGTAATACAAGCACCCTCACATTGTCTATATGCCTGAGGTATGTAGACTAAAACCAGATTTTGAGGATCGTTTAATGATCTCTGGGCCTGAGGTATGTAGGCTAAACCAGATGTGAGGATCGATTAATGACCTCTGGGCCCGAGGTACATGTATGTAGGCTAAACCAGATTGTGAGGATCGTTTAATGATCTCTGGGCCTGGGGTATGTAGGCTAAACCAGATTGTAAGGATCGTTTAATGATCTCTGGGCCTGAGGTATGTAGCCTAAACCAGATTGTGAGGATCGTTTAATGATCCCTGGGCCTGAGGTATGTAGGCTAAACCAGAGTGTAAGGATCGTTTAATGATCTCTGGCCCTGAATTATGTAGGATTAACCAGATTGTGAGGATCGTTTAATGATCTCTGGCCCTGAGGTATGTATGCTAAACCAGATTGTTAGGATCGTTTAATGATCTCTGGGCCTGAGGTATGTAGGCTAAACCAGATTGTGAGAATCGTTTAATGATTTCTGGGCCTGGGGTATGTAGGCTAAACCAGATTGTGAGGATCGTTTGCTGCTTCCTGTACCAAAGGCATTAAAAAACTAGACTAAACCGTGCATCATTCCTTGTGCGTTAACTTAACATTTTTGACTTCTCAAAACCCCCCGAACCATTTTCAACCAAATTTTGCAGGAAGGCTCCATAGTCGAACGCAAACCAAATTTGTGAATTATATGGATCTATTGACCCGCAGGGGCCTGAGGGGCGGGGCCAAAAGGGGTCAAATTGACAAAACTTTGAACAATCTTCTTCTCCAGACCAGATATGCTGGAATCAAATACACTCATGGAAGGATAGTCCTAAGGTGCTTTATCAAAATTGTGAATTTCACTACCCAAGGGTCACTAATGCCCCCGAAGGGAAAGAGTTAAGTTGAATACTATAGTTTATATAGAGAAATTACACTTTAGGGCATATTTTGCTTGTTTTCAGTGGGATATAACTCAAACTTGGTTGGAATTATTATCATGTTAGTTTGATGATATGAAAATTAAGACTCTGACTCACCCCTGGGGTTCTTTGGGCTGGGGCTGATATGTTAGAATACAATCCTCTTCATTGATGGAAAGGTCCTAAGGTGTTTTTGTGTTTTTTGATACATCACAACAACAGATGTTGTTACATCGGTGAACCGTTACACCCAATGTTAGGGTTCAAGGCCCATTGACCTCTGACCTAATTATCTATGCTCGTTAAAGCCGTATATTTATGTATAACGTTTATGCTATACATTTTAAAGACAATTGTCAATTTGTTTAGAATCTAGAACAATTTGTAAATTTTGTAAAGCATTTTTTTTATTATTTTTTTGCTTAGAAGTACTAAAAAATCTTTTGGTAATATCTCACTTGAGACTGTCAAAGAAGTGTTGTTACTTTTCATGCCGATCCGAAAATCCAACATAACCACCATGCTTACATTTAAGATGACGAGATTTTTTCACTGCTTCTCAAAAACAGTTGTAGTTATTGACTCTAAAATCAAAGTAATTCAAGTGAGCATTAACTGTTCTGTAATATAACGCAAATATACTGTAAAATCACTAATTTCCGGGCGGTTTTCCCCATTGATTTCGCTGGTAATCTTAATCCACGAAATCATAGGTCCACAATAGTATAACGTAAAACAATCCTTTCCGTATGACTGGGTACTTGTAATCCACGAACTCATGTACCCATGAAATGAGTTTTTTGGGGGGAACCACGGATTTTGGGCCCTACGAAAATATCTTATTTCACAGTAGAATCTATCGCAGTTACTCCTGGACAAAACCTGAATTGCATATCCGTTAAAAATGTCAACTGATACATTGAAAATATTTAGCAACATTCCGTACACCTATCTTGTGAACAGTAATAATGATAGCAGATGTTAGCAGGAAAACATCCAGCGTCAAAAAACATATATAGAAGTTATTCTTCACAGTTAATCAAACATTCACCTTACAAACATTCTAGTCCGTGCAATTTGCCACATATCAAATTCCGAATTGCAGATCGTATTTCATGAAAAAATAAC